TTCGTATCGTAAAATGGCTGCCATTTACAATATCAAGTGATTATCCCAAGCACCACCGCGACTTAGCGCGGGAATTTTAATTATAGCTAACTTTGGCGCGTATACCTTTTTCATATTTTATTGTAATAAATATTTACAAACTGTGTCTTTCGCGGTTTTTTTTATCAATATATAACCAATAATGATGTTAATATGAATAAATAATCATATCTCAAATCTTTGAATATGATTTACAATGAAATTCTACCTTAAGTGTATTAAAAAGGTTTTTAATTTCCTGTAATTTTATTTTGTGATTATGCTTCAAAGCAGTCAATTGACCGTGAATTTTCTTTTCATATTTTGATTTCCTTGAAATCATTTTTCTCATCTGAAGGCATGCAACTTTAATATGGTGATACATTTATTACATTCCATGAAAATGTTTAAAGATATAAAATATCTCATGACATGTTTGTTCATTTTACATTACACCTTTAATTCAGCAAACATAAAGTTTTCACAAAAAGTAGTATGCAATCGTACCTATATTACATACGAATGTATGTAATATTTTTTCTTGTTATTTTAGAAATAAGAATTATAGAATTTGGGAGGCTTAATTGGCCTTCAAAGAGAATGCAATTAAACATTGAAGCATGTGTTTTAATAAAACAACTAATATTAATAGACCAATTAACTGAAAATGAACATAAACTTCAACAGTGCCTACGGTTATTTTGTGCACAGTAAAGATAAAATTCTTTTTTCAAAATTATTGTTATTAACACAATTATTATGAAAACGACAGCTATTGTAGAATCATATTTCTTTCGATGTTTTATAAGTTTATTTTGCAATTTCATAAAATTCATATATATATATATATATATATATATATATATATATATATATATATATATATATATATATATATATATATATATATATATATATATATATATATATATATATATATATATATATATATATATATGATTTGTTAAAAAGCGGTTGCAACAGTATTATCAAATGGTTTCATTGGGATCATTGATGGAAACATTTTTAAGTGTTGATAATTGAGTAACGCTGAAGCCGGTGCTAGGGGTTGTGAGGGATGCTGCTCATTTTCATTATCCCTCATGTACAGACTCAATCAAACCGAGTCTGCAAAATTAATTAATTTTGTTCTGATTAGTGCTTCCGAGGGATCACTCTGTCTCCAGATTTTAATAGTGCTTATAAATATAATATAGATAAAGTGACACTATGTAACACACGTAAAAGAGTCTATTTTGACAAAGTTATGATAATTGTATTCAAATGTTATTCAATACCAGACATATCAACTTTGATATAACATTAAATGATCAAGATATAGATTATCACTAAGTAAAATGGCATCTTAATTAAGATAAGATAAGAAGTTGGTGTATTATCGTGACTTGTATGAACCAACAAAATTGGTTCCATATGAATTATAAACAACACAAACACACCCGACCCAATGGGCTTATAAGTCACAGTATAACATATAGCAATTAATTATCATCATGTCAAATAGTAAACAGAAGGAAATTAAATCTAGTATTTAATGACGTTTTATCATAGGAAATGCCATAAACAAGAACTGATTTCGATTATTCTTAGATTTAATAAAACTCAAAGTTATATAACATGTACATTATCAGAAATGAAAACGTACGTGTATTACACAATGCAATGCCCAGCAACCTGATATCATAGGGCTCTACCAAAAATGATGCTATAAATTTGAGTATTTGTAATGATATATAATTTATATATATTCTTATACAGAAATGAAAAACTCGGTGTTTTCTTGTTATGTATTTTTACTTTGATATACAGTACAAACTTTAAATAAATGATACTTACATTATAAAATTTCAATTGCTTAAGCAATTAAATAGATAAAAACTTCGCCCTATATTTTCTTTATAATTTAAATTTAGTGCTTATATATCAAAGCTGCATGATTGGCAGAAATAGATAACAGATTTATATCAAGACGTTTATTCAGGGATGGTAGAGAATTATTGTCAATTTGACTTCGTGATAAAACCTTGATAAAAGTGTATCATATTGCTAATTTTAGATACTTTACTAAATAAAAAAAACAAAATTACTGACGAACGCCCAAAACGACAAAATAGCCTGTTCATGGACGGTAATCGGGTAATGGTTGAGGTGAGCTACCGTCCACGCCCCTAGCAGTTGTCAACATTTATGAAGGCAAATGGTGAAACTTTGAATTTAGAATCATCAGTAGAACATAGATCATGATTCAAAACGACACTTTTCTACCATTCTACGGAAAGTGGCGTACTAGAAGTTAATTACGTTTTTTTAGAATTCTACAACGAAAGGCTCGCGTTGTCTTAAACATTATTTATGCAAAATAAGCTTCAAAGAGGTTAATCCTGCACATCTCACTCTAATGTGTTGTGTGTTTTTCTTTCTATGCATATTCTCATTTTAAAACTCAAAATTGTTGACTTATTTTCATTGCACAGAAAACATAAATTTTCCATTGGTCTCCAACAGTTTACATAACATTAACAGCAAAAGAATGGCGCAGCGGTATTGGATCGCGACAGTGAAGTAGAAACAAGTGTTTGTTTTAACTCCCTTTATCGCCAGGAACTGTGTCATTATTTTACATATTTGGCAGAATTGCTGAGTTAGGTACAACTTTTCATTTTAAATGTATTTTTATTTTCAATCTATTTGTTCTAATCAGATTTACACAAATATGACTCAAACGTTAAGGTTATATTACAATTACATATTAAACGAGACTTAAAGTTACTCCACTTAGGTGAATAAGTCGGAAAACATGTTATTTAAAATTCTTACATCAGTCGATTGAATCGCTCAAAATGTAACAATTTGCAAAGGGTAATAAAGAAATATGTTCAGAATTAAAATGAAAATCGATATTGTTTTCTTATTCCAAGCCCAATTTGATTGAAAAGCATTGCGTGTAAATGTAGTATTTGAACAAATTGGCCAAATCTGCAAGAATGTCTCATGGTGAAATTGTACTTTAAAAATAATTTTAATACTTTTAATACCAAAGTTCATTAGTACATGTAAGTATTCAAACATTATCTTTGAAATATTTTGGTGTTTAATAAATAAAACATTTCGTTCTTGAATAGTTTTGTTTATCTATTAAACAAGAAGTTGATCAGTAAATAACACATAATTATGCAGCTATATTATGTCAGTTATTCAGTTATTAGAATATGGAAGAGGTTGAATTGAGAAATAAGTAAGTTCATAGTACCATAGCAACGATAGTGCTGACGGAACAACGTAGTGTTTCTCCAAATTCACAGAGTAGTATAAACAATAAAAATACAATTCCTTGCAATTCCTTCAACAAAAACTAATGATATACGGGAACTTAATTCTTGATTAATGTAACATCTCGGATATAATTAGCATCTAATGTTTAATAAGATTAATTTTATTTACATAAACATTTCTCTGATTGATGTATTGCATTTAAACTGCAATAATTAGGCAACTCTTTGCAATGCCGACGGTGCATCAAATTCAAATCAAATATCAATTAGTACAAAAACCATCACTGCAGGTTTTAATTTGGAACAATTTGTATCAAAAAGAGATAATCAGAAGGCGGTATAATTATGATGTAAGTAATGATTTGTTAATGAACTCAGATGCAAAATGAATGGGAAATGTTATCACAGAATAACAGATGGGATGTGAATAGAGTATTATAGTGAGTAAATACGTTAAGAACAAATTGAGACACGCATTTTTACAAATAAATACTCGTAAAGTCGCATACTATGCTCGTTATAAACTTATTGTCTTGTTATCAGTGTTGTTGGTGCTGTTTTCCTTTCATACACGTTAAGCATTGTTAGTTGGAATATGAAATAGACCAACCGTATATCATTAGCTATGATATCAGCTGATTCCATGCAACGCCAACAATTTTGTCAGTGATAGAAATTTGTCGTTACTTATACAAGTTTATCTTTCGTAGACAATTTAATTCTTTTAAGAGCGACTGCTAATCAATTGCTTTATGAGGAATGCCAGTGAGAAGCATTATGACATAACAAAATTACCTTACTGCAAATCGGCGCGTTACTTCATAAACTTACATAAGAAAAAAATACCCCAATCCTCAGTTATTCGTGTATTGATGCCATGATGGATAATGTAACATATCTTTAATCAACAACACTTAAATGCATATTATTAATGATTAAAGAAAAAACATTCGCCATAAAATAAAATGCGTATGTAAGCAAATGCAAATGTGACCTATCATGTAACGAACCAACGTATTGATGACCAGATGACTAAAATATGCAACGGTTGCAACGGAGTGCACTTTGTTTTATTAGATGTCCATTGTGCATATCTTTTGTCATTATCAGAAATCATCCAAATGCAATATCATTTGATTGAAGTCAGTTCATAGTATATAAATAAGATCTTGTACTGTTCATGTACTTGTTTTGCTCACACAGTGTAAAAAATGTCAACAAGAGGAGATCCATCGAGAGCAATGTAAGCAAAGTTTAAAAGTGGAGATTGCAGAAATAGGAAAGAACAGCATCACCCGACATAGGCAGTATTCTATCTTAAACGCAGTTAAGTTTTGAAATCAATGATTCCGAAGGACGAGGAAAATATAACGCGACACCTTACTACAACACTCAATTCTTAAGTAGGTGTCAGCTAGTCTATTTTTGTATTTCAGACAGCGTCACGTCTTCCTATACTATCTTGTGTCGTTCAGACAGTCTTCAAAACAAGTTAGCCTTTTCAATTTTAAGATAGGAAAGTGCAAAGTCTTAGGCACGCTTGAGCCTGTTCGATTTTGTATTGTTCAAGAGATTAGTATCAAATCTTAATCACGTGTTACAGACGTATTACTGAAAACAGCACATCGAGCGTAACTCGAATACTTTTTTTGCGTCTTTTAGCAGACGATTTTTATAACAACATCAAAGAACTTGTAATATATTTATTGTTCAGTCTTTTAGAAAAGAAATGTCATGTTACATAATTCATAATCATCGAGTATAATTGTGATTATTATCATTGTCGACAGAATCAACCAACCGATTTTTTGAACATGGTATGCAACAGGAAGATGATATTGATCGCGAAGCTGATAAATCTACATGTTGTGGAATGTTTTCTGGCCTTGGTGTCGTTGACACCGCTCTTGGTCCAAGTACTGGCGGAAGCTTGGTTAAACAACTGTTTAAATCCGGTCTCGTTGTTTCAGATAAAGAAATTTTCTCAACATTTTGTTCGTCATTTGGTGTGTTGCAGGGTTCACCTTCCTCATTAGCTGTCGTAATATACCTTTTCAGATAGTTGTAATGATTTCTTGTTGATAACAGTTCTTGCTGAATAGTCTTACTCTTTTCCTCTTCCATGTTTATTTCCGCTTTGAGATTTTCAAGCTCATGCCTAAGAGCTTCATCATACTCCTCATCCATCTGATTTGCTATCGTTTCGGTATCGATTTCAAATTTTGTTTCATCAATATCATAATATGGCGGTACATCTCCGAAGCCGTATCCGTATGTGGCATCATCGACGCAAGATTTTCGTGCATCATGAAAGTGACGGTTAACATTCGTCTCATCTTTTTGCACAGTTACATTCAGATCACACAGTTCTGCAATAGAGGCAATAATGGCTTCCAATTCTTTGTCCTGCATGTCTAGTTTTACTTCATTATTACCAATATCTTTATTATCGTGCTCGGTTATTTTCTTTAACCTGGTATATTCATCAGCTAAAAGAGCAGCGTCTAGATCAAAGTCAGCTGTTCCATTTTTGAATGGTTTGTGGTTTTCCATCAGTCTAAGAGCATCGACTTGTTTTTGTATGTTTGGTATGTGCTCTATGTCAGACGTTCCATTAGGATTGCGTAATGGAAAGCTGGTGCTCTGAAGTTCTTCAGATTCACATGAAAGTGTTGGGTTAAACTCGTCATCTACTTCAATGTTAAACCACTGATAAAACTGTGAAGAAGACGGGAGCTCCTGCTCCATGACATCTGTCAAAAATTTATACAAAAATCATAATTTTTGAACTTTTTTGAATGACTTTATAAATGACAGATTTATGTGGGTGTAAATTCAATTTGATGCTTTAAAAACTTGTGTTAATGCCTTTGATATGTTGTGATCTGCCTGTCGTTAACGATGCATTATGATTCAAACTAGAGGAAATGCTACATTTATAAAAAAATAATAACAAGGTTCAGCATTATGTAATGGTATTAGAATTTAAAACACTTTAGTGAGTCTGATACAAAATTGAGCAAGTATGTCCATTTATTATTTCTATGAGTGTTTTTATTTGGAAAAACCAAAGATCGGTTATATATGCTGCATGTACAACAGCATGAACTATACACTACTTGAAGAACCATGAAACTACTCTGCAAGATCAGACAAGAAAAACAATAACATCCAATAATAAAGTTCTTGCGATGCTACATTGCAGTCGGGGAAAAAAATGCCATATATATGAAAGACACAAAAACAAGGAATTTTCCTTTATAAAGCTATAATCAGTGTTTACTGAACACGGTCATTTTATGTAGAACGCAATTGTTTTGAATTTAATTACAAATACAATTAAAAAAGCTATGAAGACCACCAACGGTATTGGACCAGCGGGGTGATCTCATTTGTTGATATAATTACCAAAGCATATTCATTTTATGCCCATTTTCTATATGAACATTTCTAAACAATATGTATTACAACCTTCAACCGAACAAAATAAATGTGCAAAAAACAACGTTAAACCACTCTGACATTTATGTTCGCACCTTACTTTATGCAATATTCTAACAGTTTTAAATCATTATTTCATCAAGTCCCATGCCTAAGAACATTTAAACAAATAAAAACGGCAAAATTGTGGTATTAATATGTGTTGATTCGATTATAAGTGGTCTTAATAGTGGGGTAAAGTAAAGAATAAAACAAAGAATTGGGACTGAAACTGGTGGTCTTAATAGCGAAAAGCGGTCTGGTCTTAATGTGACACATGTAACCATTGACATAAAGAACAAAAATTTCTGTTCTGGTAAAATTGGTCTTATAGCGGGGTGGTCTTAATCGCGGGTTGATCTTTGCTAAGAAGTTAATATCCGTTTTGTTTATATGTTACTACAACATGTTCTAGATGTATATACTTCTTTACCTAATGTTAAGTCAGAAATACTTTCTAGATTACAGTTTCCAGATTCTGCTTCTATCATTTACAGTCTTTTGCAATGGACTTTATCCCTGAAAATATTAATGAAATAATGCTTAAATCTGATGAAATATTCCCATATTATGTATCACAATATGTTAATAAAGTTTCGTGAACAAATAACGCCAGGTTGTGTTGGTAACGATTTTACGCGAAATAAAAAAATCATTAGTAATGATATTGAGCATATTTCACTTAATTATTAAATTGTACAACTATATGTGCATGTATTCTTATAACTCTGTATATTCAAATGTCATTAAAATTGAAATTTGTCAGTAGTATGACGATTACAGATGCATTTCTGAAACCATTTTTAAGTTAAAAATCATCATCCTTGGAAAAAAAATCAAAAACAAAAATTACTTTTTTATGAATTGATTTTTTTTTGTTTAACAAAAATATGAAAATAAGCAATGATAAACTTTTAATGTCTATAAAAAAATAAATAAGTAAAAAAGATTGACACTTACTTGAAATAATGGGCCCGGTCTTGTCGGGTGGCAACAACGTTAACATTAATGACGTCAACGCAAATTACGTCACATGTAACGTCAAAATTTCACAACACAAAGCTACATTACAGGATTAAATAGAGTCTGTCGTGAATGAATAAAAGATATTCAAGTTTTTTCTCTCTATAAATACGGGGTTTATTTTCACTGAGTGATATGAAAATAAATATTTCACGAGATAAAAATAAATCCTATATAAATAGAAAAAAAAAATGAAATTGTTTATTATTATCATATCATTTTTTTTTCTTCTCATTTTTTTTACCTTATATTCGAAAGGCCTCCCCTTTAATTGTGTATATTGGCTGGATTCAGAAAGTAATCCGGCAGAAATCCGGCAAGACACCAGTGAAAATAAGGAAAATATGGTTAACTGCAGTGAATTGAAAAATATTTATTTTACAGTGAAAATACGGAAAATGGAATTATGCACTTTATTTCATCAATTTTTCCTCGCGCGAGCATAACATTATTTTATTCAACGAGTTCAATAAATTCAGTAATGAACCTACACGAATATAATATTCTATTTATCACATATCCAAAATAAAGACTGTTTAAAGTGAAAAAGTAACATTTTTCATTGACGCGCCGATAGTATAATGCTAACATACATGTAAGCGCGTCATTTTACACTATGTTTGTAAATCGCAAATGACGCGCCACGTCAAAATATATGCACGGTCGTGCGATGTCGTAAAAGCGGCATGTGATAAAGCATTTGATATGAATTCAGTAAAAATCATTGAAGTTTATAGCCTTTTAATTTGGGATATGAAATTAAAAAAAAACCCTTAAAGGCCCATTATGTCCCATAAATGCTTTTACTTTTATTACTCAAAAGCTTTAAATATTGGTGCACTTTTATAGTATCCAAAAATAACTCAATAGCCAATTACCTGAATATTTTTCATTTGTTGCTTTTTGGCAATGAGTACAGTAAAAGTGAATTTTTTGTATGGCAGTCAAAATACTACTTTGATTACATTTTGCTACTTTTATGGCAATTATTTTACATTTATCGCTACTTTTTTATGTAACATACATCTAACATTCTCTAAAACTATTGCTAAAACATTATGAAGTCCGTGTTTGCCTTTTCTGAAGAAATAAAAATTGATTTGTTTCTGAAGCACAATGTGCCTTTAACCAAGGGAACATTACGCCGATGCATTGGTGATCATATTCTTTGAGCTAGGACATCACCATTTAAAGTGCTATTTTTTCAATGATTGGCTATTTTGTTCAGCAGGCGAAACCGGTTATAACTACATGTAAGTGTGAATACACTATTTCTGTATTATAACAATTGGTTTAGGTATTTCTGGAAGGTTTCTTTTTAAATGGAAGACTGACAAAGGCCAATAAGGGTACCTCACCATGCTTTAGTGAGCTAAACATTTCATTATAAATTGCCTTAATTATATATTCCTTCCTTTTTATTGTTCATTAAAGCTGCGTTTATAATATATTGAAAAGGAAAACAACTATCAATAACCAATTTTCATAGATAATAAAATACATGTACTGTATTGACAAATCTCATAAAAAAAACAAAAAAAAACTACTTTAAAAAGGGACGTAACTCCAACGACTTTGAGAATAGTGTCCCTTGTTTTACCACTTTATCTTGTCATGTAATGAACAGGTATTTTAAATTTCATGTTGATACCTTTCAACTTTTTGAAATTATTGTATCAGTATTTGCTTTGACCTTATTAAATGTTTGAATAGTGGAATATATTAAAGATTTTGCATGACAACAACTACGCACAACTTTCAGCTAAAATTATTTAAACTGTATCTTAGAAATTAAAACAAGAACACACAGCAAAATTGCAATATTTTATTACTGTTAAGAAGAATTTTAAACTTCAATTCCAGCATATCAAAAGTCAAATTTCAGGCAAAAAAGTTCTTACGATTTAGCATGAAAAATACACAGCAGAAATCAGAAACCAATTGGAAGTAAAAACAAACAAGGCATCTATTCACAGTTTATAAATTTCACAGCCTCCTGCAAACTTTAATTTCAATCATCTTAACATTTCTTAACTTTAATTTCAAGATAACTTTAAATAAAACACAGAATTAACACTTCTAACATCTGTTTCTTCAATCAAAATTTAATAATCTTAAAACAACATAAAACAAAATTGCTTGCATAAACAATTATATACTGTTAAACAATGTTTTTAACATTATTTAACTAAAAATCTTATATGCAATATTTCTCCCGAAATTGACAACAAGCTTTCTGACATTACTAGCAAACTTTCTGACATTATTAGAATCTATCAGTGACATTACTAACAGTCTTTCATGACATTACTAACAGTTTTTCCTGACATTACTAACAGTCTTTCCTGCCATTACTAGCAGTCTTTCTTGATATTTCTTACATTCTTTTCTGACATTACTAACAGTCTAAGACAGTATTTCCTGTCAATACTAACAGACCAAAGACAGTCTTTCCTGACATTACTAGCAGTCTTTCCTGACATTACAAGCAGTCTTTTATGACATAATAAACAGCATTTCCTGGCGATACTAACATCCTTTCCTGACATTATTAACATTCTTTCCTGACATTAGCCTTTCACGGCATTACTAACATCCTTTCCTGACATTACTAGCAGTCTTTCTTGACATTACCAGCAATCTTTCCTGACATTACTTACAGTCTTTCCTGACATTACTTACAGTCTGAAGATGTTTTCCCTGACATTACTAACAGGCTTCCTGAATTACTTACAGTCACATTATTAACAGCATTCCCTAACATTACTTACAGTCTAAAGACAGTATTTTTTGACATAACTAACAGACTTCTTGAATTAATAACAGGCTTTCCTGACATTACTAATAGTCTCTTTCTGGCATTACTAACAGTCTCTTTCTGGCATTACTAAGAGTCTTTCAGACATTACTTACAGTCTTTATGACATTACTCACAATATTTCTGATATTACTTACAGTATGACAATTCTTCACAACATTATTAACAATATTACAAATGATGCAAATAATAATTCCCGCATTACTTACAATTATTTTGACATTTCAAAAATATTCCCATTATTTCAGCTGCAAACCATCTTCCCAATATTAATCATGCACATATTGATCCCATACTTTAATACATGCACCAACTATATTTATTATCTATATTTCTTTTACAAATTATGGATCATTAATATTTTCTTGGATTTTGTTTCGTGCTCATTACTATTTCTAATTAGATAATGTTTTTAATGTAAAATTCAGTCTTTCATAATCCCTCACCACCCTAAACATCTTTCAATCATTTGTAAGTTTTTAATAGCAAATTTCAAAATATGAACTGATTGAATTAATAGCAAACAGTGCAGACCATGATCAGATAGCATGAATGTGACCACTGATTGTGGTCTGCACTGGTTACTTTATGTGTCCTTAAATCTTGGGGTGGATTCACGACATCTCATCTATAACTTGTCGCTTAATTTATTTTTTTTTTATTTCTTCTGAAATACCACTAGGAAGATTAATGAATTCTTCCCTATATCAAAATTCTTTTTTCTTTTTAAAATAACTTGAATTTAGTTAAACACCGAGTTAAAAATATGACACAGAACCTTTGAATAACAATTAAATTAAAACGCCCATTGTGCTCATTTACATTTATGTCTATATATTTGAGTTTTCTTTTTTCTTTGTTTATATAAATTTTTTGTTTGTAACTGTATATATGTACATTTGATAGAGGCTCATAGGGAAGACTGGGCTCGCCTATGCTGCCTCTTTAAATAAAGTCTTTATTATTATTATTATCAATATTGTCCCAATACAGCAAAAATAACCCCAAAAATAAATAAAATAAAGAAAAAAGAAAACATGTCAGAAGTTTTTAAGCTTTTATTAAATATTCTTTGAAATATATGATAAAAATGAAATCCAACGTTCTCTTTCATAAATACTCTACAAATTTGAGAACAAAATAGTTACTTTCATTCCTGTATTTTTTAATGATCATATCATATGCATACAATAAATATAAAATATTCAGCATTATGACTAAAGCAGAAATTTGTCTCTAGCTGTAGGATTACAGAATTATGTGACATTTACAAATAAAAATATTATCTAATACTCTCTCCGCTACAATAAATTTATATTATCCCCCCAATAAACAATGTTTGACACACAGATTTCTCAGTAAATAGATATTTAAATTACTTGAGTCCTGCTGTTTCATGCAAATAAATTGCCTCCTTAACATTGTTTTAGGAATAAATCAGAAATTTTCTTATGCTGAAATATGCAAATGTGGCATTTACTTTAGGATGTCTCATGCAAATAAATATAATTTTATTAGATACCACAACTTTTGAAATAGACAAAAACCTTGGTCCAAAAAAATTATGTTAAATTTGTTTACAATGAAAACAGTCAGGAATAGAATTAATGTTTTTGCAATTATTTTTGTTATGCCTGATTTATAAAGATAATGTAAACATTTTAATACACTTCTCTGAAAATAACAAGCTGATAACATGATAACAATCAATTGCTAAGTTTCAAGACCAGCTTATTAAGTATTTATACACACAATAATTATGTATGTTAAAGGAACTCCACTGAGATTTCAGGTTTTTATTATAAGGCAGCTAGAAACATCTTTTTAGACATAAGTTCTGGACCAATAACTTGTGGATCAAATTTTTAAAAGATCATTCCCTCAACCTATTTTATAAGAATAATCATTTTAATAATGCAAAATGGCTGAAAAAAACATTTTTCACACAAATTGGCTAAAAATCAAACAAAAATCAATATTCAATTTGATTCTGAGTAAATTTCTTAATCATTCATGGCAGATTTTTCCATTTTAGGTGATTTACCTGATCTATGTAAGAAATATGTTTTTTTTTATGTTTTTGTTTTACCTCAGTGTAGCTCCTTTAATTATTGAGGTTAAAACTAGTCAATTTGTATTCATTTAATAAACACATATTGATAAGTTTTACACAAAACCTTCACATTGTTCTTTCAGATAATATCAAGAGAAGTATTTTCACAGCGCAGCTTGAAAATTCACAGCATTTTTATCTAGCAGTTAAATAATTTTAATCAGCATTATACACAGTTAGTTTTTTTTTTCCCGATAAAAGCGTTTCTCTTTTCAGAACACTGTCTTTTCAGAACACTGTCTTTTCAGAACACAGTAAGGAGTGCAAACACTCCGTACACCAGGCAGCATGGGTATGCTACTAGTAACTGTTGATGATCCATCTCTAGTGCCGACACAAATAACTTAGAGGCTGAAATACTACACCATAGTACTGTCACGGCTGTTAGTACTACACCAACAAGACCCCTGTAAGATAAACACAGAAACATAATTATAACTGGTTAAGAGTACAATTTTCAGGATCCAAATAATGCAAAATTATTTGTCTGTTTCAAATTAATATATTTAATGGTGGAGGCATGGCCGAGTGGTTAACGCGTCAGACTAGTAATCTAATGATCGCTAGCAGCATGGGTTCAAACCCCGTCAGGGGCTTAGTCGTTGTTTCCTAAAAAAAATTGAGCAAGAAACTTTTAACACATTGCTCAGAACTGGTTGGTTCCATGAACGGATTCGAAAGAGTGTTTATAAGCTAATAGCTTCCTACGCAATCAAACTAACATAAATTCTGTATAAACCAAATTAATATATTTATATCATTATCTTTTTCTATCAGTATGTAGAAAGATATGGATTTTATTTTGATATTCTGATAGATCGGTAAAAACACATTTTCTTTTGCAAAAATTTCACTGAATGCAATTTATAACCCCACCAATGGCTTCTGTTGACTTATTAATGGACAGCAGGAAAAGAGAAAATCTTGTGGCGAAATAATACACAGGAAATTGACCTTGATCATTTTATTTAGCAAGAGCACTGCATGAGGCTTTAAAGCTCTTCTATTAAAAGTTCTTAATTTAAAAGAGGGAAAAACTATTGCTTTTGGAATTTTGTCCATTGTCATGATAAGCAAGTATTCCAAGTTTCATGTTGATACCTTTTGAAATGTTTGAATAATGGGCTACAATAAAGATTTTGCATGACTACACAACACCACCGCAATCATAACAGCTTGATTTTTTCATCGAAACAGACGAGCTAAAAATTCCATCATGAAGAGTTTGTTTAAATATGACCTATCAGGTTTAAAAACTGTCAATTCAAAATTCATATAAATTTCAAATTAAAGGGGCATAACTTTGTCACAAAGCAATGAAGAGTTACAAAACTTGACTCAAGTCTAAGCACTCTGTGCCTTTATCAGCAAAAATATACCACTAAAATTTATCTAAAACACAAAACAGCTGATTATTTAAAACCATGCAGATTTAGGTGGCCTTGATGATTATATAATTAACCACAAGAACAGCTGTATTTAATTCACCCAGAAAACTTGAACCATCTAATGAGCATAAAACTTCTAAAGTACCTTCTTGCATTTAATGTACAATAAGATTATTGCCTCTGTTAATTAGCAGATGTTATATTTAATGCTGAAATAATGTTCTTGTTTTCTTTCCCATGAAAGACAAACTAAAAGTGTACACAAATGTTACATTAAATCAGTACCCCTTCCAGATTCATTTCAAATTATCATGAATATTTTGAAAATGTATTTAAAAGTAAAATATTGTGAGGTGAACAAAATATTGCAATCTTGAAATCCACCCAAAATACCAAAAAGATGTCAAAATATGTAAAAAAAACAGCCCTTACTGCGTTAGTAATGCAGTAGAAATATGGTGATTACATACTGGAAAATAGTCTTAAAATGCACATAACATGTAAACTATAACTTGGATGTTGAATCTTTTTACATCTCTTAAAATTTAAGTACATTTTTTTCAATATTAATTTTCTTGAAATATGTTGGCTTATCTGGAGGCATGCAGCTTTAAATCAGCACCCCCCCCCCCCCACTCATGTTGGTTGGTTACTGATGATGAGTGATAAATAAATGTAAAGTATGGATAATTGGTGAATTTAAGTGACAAATACTATCAAAATAACACTATGTCGACGTCCCTCAGGGTAAAAGTGCATATTAGCAATCCGAGAACTGAAAATAACACCAGAGGTGGATACATGTTACCCTTAGAGACTTGATTTTTTCTTTTACTATACCGAACCTACATGCTAATATAATTTTTCACCGCTATGCATTTTTATTACTCATAGAGCCATTTATCATTGATTTTTTTTATTTATCGACCAGGGGAGAGGACTAGAACATTATATTTTCTTAAGTCTATGTAGATTACTTCCCCCTGGGGAATATTGTAAAAAAAATAATTGCCCAGGTGATATTCATTTCCAGGATGATAGATCAAAATAACACCATGTAACATCACATTCAAGGCTATATAGTAAAACGTTTATGTGGGGTATAATAAATGTACATTCTGTTTATTTTTCGTCCTGATAATGGCAGAACCAGTTTTCATTTCTCAATTACTAAATAGAGATTATTTCTAATTATAAAGGGGAGACAATTTTTAAACAAAATAGATAGAACAGGAAAGACATAACAAAGATACTGTAAAAAGCAGAGTGGAGTACTAATTGTAGAGAGAGCTAGCACATTGGGGACAACCAATGAATGATTACTGTATAGAGATCAGGGGAGAGAACTAATGAATAATAGAGTAGGTGGTGGTGGTGGTGGTAGTTTACCCTCTAGAGCATGACATTAAGCCACCATGAATTCAGCACAGCACAGTTAAGCTACCACATCCTTCCTCACCAGGCAGGCTGTTAAGCAGTTTACCATTGTGCCCTCATTTTCACAAGGAATTAAAAATTTCTATACATGCCAGAGCAAATGACCATATAAAGGACTTTATGAATCACTCACAATGAAAAAGACCTGCAATGGCTGGGAATTGAACCCAAATTGCACTCCAATGTTCAACCTATTGAACTAACTGGTTGGTTTACATAGTGTAGGGGAGGTTAAAAAGACTAAATATTCCTGTAGCAAGAACAGGGTGGGAGGGGTCAACTAATAAGCAAAAACAGGGGAGACAATCTGATGAAATGAATAGAGGACAAGGGGTGACAACTTATTATATAAATACTTACTGTAAAGATAAAAGAGCCGATGAGAAAGAGAGGAACACCATGGGTAGTAAACAATACCCCAGTACACTGATGATACACCCGCTGGAAACTCCCGTCATAGACATCAGGTTCAGTAAACAATACATTGCTAGGCAACCAACCACACCAATACCATAGATGTAACCGAAATGAAGTTTTCCAGACTGAAATCATATTGAACAATCTTTGTTAAAGTGTATAAAGCTATATAATTACATGCTGCAAAAATTATTGTTTGAATTTTTTAAAATGAATACTTCCAAAATGCTTGTGTAGTAAATTGCTTTAAAAGTGAATGGCAAAAGCACGATATCATCACTAAACCGATAAACCCTACTTAAAATGGCAGAATGATTATTTGTTCCACAACATTTTACTCTGTTTAAGAACAATATTCATGTGTGTTAAGTAACAGAGACATTCTATCTTACAACTGTTTCAAAAATCAAGCATTATAAGATCATGGAAACAATATAATTTTACTGTTGATTAATTTTATCAGAATATTACAAAAGATAAAGATTTTTATCCTCTTTTAAAGTATTAACATGGCAAACAAAATCCTATGTAGCATGCAGCACAGGAATAAGATGCTGTTATTTTATAAATCTTGTTGCCCCCTACAATTTTTCTACAATAATTATTCTCCCATGTACTTACAAGCATAAGACTGCCTCCAAAAGCCAGACAGAAGACCAGTGGTCCAGCCAGATCTGTGTCCTGCATCAGCTCATGCTGTGTCTGTTTTAATGGGTTCAAAACTGCCATAGTCTGTGAAATAGAAAGAAGAAATTTGATAAAGGGATGTAACTTTTCCTTACACTATCATATTATATCTCTGGAAAGTTGCTTCCCTTTTATAATTTCGTTAATACACATTTTTTTCATGCAATTACATCTGCAGAAGCACATGGTGGCATTTAAAGCCTAAGCCAGCAGGGCCTGCGATTTATTTTATCCAAGGGCTTCTTCATACTTTAATGCACAAAAATAAGGTGCATTAGCCCTCATCTTGCATAAAAGTAAAAATCTGATTTGGTAATTCTGCAATTTGTTATCCATTTTCATATAAAGAAACCATTTTGTCAAATGTTCAATGTGCTAGTGCAATGTCATTTGACAGTTATGTTATGATAATAAAGCTAACAGGGTCACCATTGCAGTAAGTTATTTTTTTTACATAGCGCCAAGGTCACACATGGTAAAAACATGCAACAACAGTATCTGTTAATGCATGTAATTCTTCTCCATTTATGTAATATACTTGCATGGGCAATTTTATGCAAGAATATTTATTAATGCACATCATGAAAAAAGCCTATTTCTTATCTAAACAACTCCCGAGTCCACCCACTGGAACTAACTGATATTCTAGTACTGATTCTTAACCATAAAAAATCTTCCAGGACAAAACTACAGAAATCTCTGACAACATGTTAACGTTATATCACCAACAAATCCAATCCAATTTGCAATGCCATTACTGAAGTCCTATCAGGCAGAAAATAAAAATAGGCAGTTAATAACTAGAACTTTGTAAGTGGCCACTCCATCAATTGACAAGATTGTTTTGAAATGGACAACTCGCACTTAATTGCCAAAAGCATTAATACCTTAAAGTACAATGTGAAAAGTAGGTCACGGTAATTACAAATACAATAAAAAAGTTGATTGAGATGCAATAAAAATATCATAATTCCAGGAAGATATCTATAATGACACTATATAAAATAATAATAATTTCCTTGCAATTATTCTTAAGTGCTTTTAGTCTTCAGACAATAAATCAAAACTGGCAGACACATTGGCTTTCTTATGTACGACAGACATGGTTTTAAATTGACACAGATTTCTGTCATCTACAGATTTTATGTTTTAAATTACATACCCTTGAGACTGTATTCTAAATCATATAAGACTAAAACTTTTCAGGCAGCAATCACGAAAGAACCAAGATTATGATGTAACTAATCTACAACAAAAACTCATATAAACTATAGCTGATAAGGCAAAATCAAAATATGAAGCGATAAGTTGCCAAGTATCATTGAAAATGCATTTCATTATGAGCAATTAACTTAAATTGAAATAATTTGGACAAACTTCAATTCATTGTATAGGTAACTTTTAAGAAAGCAAGAGAGAATTTCTCTGTTCTCTTGTTTTGCCTTAATTAGGCTATTGGTGATATAACTTGTTAACAAATTGGATTTATTTTCTTCATTTGCAATTTAGTTTAAAACACAATATACTCAGATTCAATAATCTCATCACATATTCACTATTATGAAACTTGATCTTGTAATCTTTAATTAGAATGAATATTATTCATTTTTGATGTCAAGTATATTTTTTTCAAGACTTAAGTGTATTTAAATAAGTTAATAAAAAGTCATATAAAACAAACCCAAAACATTATAAGCAATTTAAAAAGCCCAATCATAAGCTATATGGATTTATTCAATTCAATTAATTAATAAAAAAATTTCCCAACCATGTTCATAATCAAGTTGTACATTATAACACTGTTATTTAAGGTATATTAGCATTTTTCCAAACATGCGACCATTTCCTGAGATTCACCACTTCATTAAGAAATCATAGTAACCACAAGATAATTAAATGGTCAATTCCATATAATCCTTAAATTGCTGCCAGGTCAACTCTGCCCATGCAAACTGAATGCAAGTCATCTGTAACCCCAACAAATTAACAACTTGACAGAATATTTCTGATTAACACTGCAGCCTCTGAATAAAGACAGAATTCAATACATGCATTATAGCTATAAATGTGACCCTGTAATCCCCTATATTGGATTCTGGTGCAGCAGGAAATAGAAACCCTAAGTATTCCTTTAGGGAATAGCAAAAATTCCAATCTCTTTTTATGAGATTACAAAGCAGAAGGTCAGGGTGAGTCACTGAAAGATTACACTATTTTCTTAAATTTCTAAGTTTCCAGTTATTCTTGCAGGGCTAAAATTAGTTTATTTTATACTCTGAACTTATTAAAGAATTAATAACTCATCTCTAGAATTTGTAAGAGGGGGGAAACAGATTTAAATCTTATGAAAGGAGATAACTGTCAAAGTTTATTTTGTTATCTTGTTACCAGAAATTCAGAATCATAAGTCACAGCGCACATTTACAAAAAAATAAAAAGAACAGAAAATAAATCTAAATGCTAAATTGTATATAAGAAACTGTTTAAAATTGTTTGAATCTTTGAAACACAGTCAGCCATAGGAAATATCTTTAATAATTTACCAAATTCTTTTAGAACAAAGAACAACGTAATGCTGAAGAACAATTACACATGCAATTACAGAACACAACAAAACATGGACAAGTGAAGAACAATTATTAAGATATGAAGACTTGAAGGGCAGTGAACAACACATGAAGAGTGGAGATAAACATATGAAGAGCAAAGAACACGTATATTAAACAAATAATGATTGAAGGGCATAGAACATTTTTAAACAAGAAGTGCAAAGAACAACACATTAACAGCAAAAATCAACGTATGAACAGAACAGAACCACACAGGAAGACCAAAAAGATCAACACATGAAGAGCAAACAACACAATGGTAAACAAAAACATATTAAAAGCAAAGAACAACACAATTGAAAGCAGAGATCAACATATGAAGAACAAACAACACAAATTTATATCACCAAGAATAAAGAACAACATAATTATAAACAACAAAGAAATGGATAATCATGGAACCTTTTCCAACACCTAGCTTTAACTGTAAACATGTTAATCTTACATTTTCAACATCACAAGCTAATTATGCATCTTAATAACTAGTAACTCATTGACCATTCATTATCAACTGACCACCAGGAATGCCCAATAACCCTTGGGACCAAACAGTCACATGTATAATTAATTGGCTGCCAACTGCAGGCTAGTAGCAAGAAAATAATTTCATTAACAGCCTTAAAAGACAGAAATTCAATCATTTACATGAATGTCTGCATAATTCAATCATTAATTTACATGCTTAATGCTCTTTCTAAACCATTCAAAATATATTAGTTTTCTGTCTCCCAATGTAGTTTGATAATTATAAAAGGTTCACCAGAAAATGGCACACAACATTTTAATAAAGACATCTTTCAAAATAACTTAAACTTTTATGTTGCCTGGTGTCTCAAATCTTAATTCAATAGGTTAAAATTAAAGTCTTAACCCTTTACCACATATATACGCGAAACAACACACTTTCGACCCCCCTCCCTTTTTGGGGCCTCAAATAGTGAAAAAATGTCCTATTTGGGCCCTAAACATAAGTTTTCGTTTGAGCAATGTTGCTAAAAAAATTGAGCACTTTTTCGGCGCCGCCCCCCATCCAAAAGATACATCAGGGGGTTGCCAGAAGGGGGATGTGCCCCCTTCTGTTAGGGGGGGTTTGAAGGGGGGCGGAGTCCCCCTCATCGCCAAGAAAATTTTGGACTTGTGAAAGGCTAAAAATGACCCCAGGTCGACCATAATGTAACGTTTAACCAAAGCTGAAAAGCCTTTGACTCTATCTCAATCCCTTGAGAAGTTGCAGCACTTTGAAATAAATTTTGATGGAAAAAATCGAGGCAAAATAGTGATTTTTGGCAATTTTGAGATGTCCCCTCGTTGCCATGGTAACAGGAATTTTAAGACTGAGCATGTCGTTACAAAGGCAATGGTCCAGTCAACATTTGTGCCAAGTTTGATTAGTATTGAAGCATTTTTCATAGTTTCATAGTAGTTTGAACTTGTAACAGGAGGCTTTTCAGTGAAAACGGCCATTTTTCACAATATGCTCATGGGGGAAAGGGTTAACGTATTTTCTACAGTGAAAATTATATTTAAGATACTTCAGTTTCAATACTATATATATAAAACAATTCTAAATTTGTTTGTGAAAATATCCAATAATCAATATAATGATTATAACAGTCATTAAAGCATTTTCAGCTTAATTTGCATTCATTCTGTTATTGCTTTAAGTTATGGAAAGTGCATGATCTATGATTTCCTTTGATTGTATGTAAAGATGATCTCAATGTGGCTCCAATTTGATAATTAGTGCATACAAGTTTCTTTTCAACTGACAATGACAAATGGGTAAAAGCCTCAATGGCCAGATGGCCAGAATCATTTATAATATTTCTATTTCTCACTATATTTGCCAACTAAAAGGCTTTTTAGCATGGAATGAATTGGACATCCTTGGAGTCTTAAACATTCATTCATTGATTTATTTATTGCTTTTTAACAATTATTTGTCAATGAAAAAAAAACACACAAAGAAACTGAAATTAATACCCTGAATTAGCTTTCAAAAGCATATCATTAGCAATATCTATCAATTTTTAAAATTCAAATTAAAGAAATGTCGTAAATGTTTACATTTATCAAAAACTACTAAGTCAAATTTAAATACTCTCCAAACTTAACTTCATAGTCAGGCTTTTCAAACAGAAGGGGAATGGGTATTTAAAAGGTATTCATTAAATAGCTGACATTTCTTATTTATTCTGTAGTTTAATTAATTATTCAACTAAACTATGTTTACAAATGTTTCATTGTGTTTTCATTGGGGAACATTTTCACAAGCCAAACATACTGGGATCAACTAGTATTTGTTAAGCCAAAATCTGTTTGACAGCTTCTAAAATCTGTTTAATCTAGGCTCCTCATTTATTGACATTCAGGCTACATCAAAGGTGTACCATAATGTTCAGATAATATCAAAATGCATCAGTGTTTGATTTAGAA